CTGGAGGAGGAATTCTGGGAGTTGAAATCCACAAGTCTTAAAGTTGTCAAGTTGGAAGACCCCCTGGTGTAGGGTCTCCTGCTTGGAGCGGGGGTTGGACTACCTACAAGGTCCATTCTAAATCTATTAATCTGTGAGTTATTAGCCATGGAAACACTCTTGCATGGGTTGGAGCCAGTCATTCTCCTTTAGTGGGTCACAGTGAGAAGAGAACATTGACTTGAGATATGACGGGGGAGGGGAGAGGTCCCTTCCTCTTATGCCACTTCGTCTCAACTCATAGATATGGAAGAATTCTTAGGAAGACCAACACCAAAGTAGGCTCTGCAAACTTTACAAATGGGCCGGCCCTGCTTCAGGAAAGGAAAGGCTGGTCTAGAAGGGAGAAAAGCAGGATAGGCAGCAAGGCCCAAGGCTCACCCAACAAGTCTTTCCTCTTCATTTTTCTCATGGCTGGGGGCAAAGCCAGCAGCTCCACTTGGAAGGCCTTCTCAGCCATCTGCAGAAGCGACGCCAGTTCTTTCTTCATCTCTTGTAGGTGTTCCTTTGCTTGAACAGAGAAATGGGTACCGATAAAAGAGAAGGCTGTACATCAGGAGTTGGTCCAACCATGGCCACTAAAAGACTTGTGGACTTCAACTCCCAGCGTTCTGCAGCTGGCCATGGTGGGAATCCTGGGAGTGGAAGTCCACCAGTCTTTAAAGTGGCCAAGGTTGGACCAACCCTTGGCTCTCTATGTAGCTGAGGGTTGAACTGGGACATCCTGGATGCTCTCTGGACTTGATTGTTTTCTTGCAGACATTTTGTTACCCAACTGGCGAACACCGTCAGCACCAAAGATGTTACTCAGATGAAATGTCAGCAAGAAAGCTGACCAAGAGCGCCAGGGACTCAGTAGGAGTTGAAAAGCGTGTCAACCTTTCCCCCCACCAAAAAAGGTGAAGCAAAAGGAAATAGATGGGAGGGAGGATATGATATCTAGCTCGCTTCACCCTGATTTACAAACAAGATTCATTCAAGATGAAGTCAGCCACATTATGCCCAGCCAGTTGCACCATCCATGAAGGCAGAGATGATAGTCAGCAGGTTCTGACAGGTACTAGAGAACCGGAAAATTTGAGTAGTTTGGGCAACCAGCAAATCCCACCTCTGACTAGCCCCGCCCCCATCTCTTCTCTGCCTCCCCAGTCCCAGCTGATTGGCCGGGTCTTTCTTGGTTGCCCTGCACAGGAGAAAGGAGCTGGAAAGCAGGTTAGTGGGGTGGGATGGAAATGGGGATTTACAGTATCCTTCCCCTGCCACACCTGCCATGCCAAGCCACGCCCACCAAGCCACACCCACAGAACCAGTAGTAAAAAAAAAAATTGAATACCACCACTGCATGAAGGGGTTACTGAATCAACCACAATGGGCAAGGGCTTCCCCTCCAAGGATAAACCCATAAATCTGAAATCTACTAATCGCAAGGATGAAGTTCCCACACAGTATGAAGCCAAAACTAACCAACCATGTCGTATTTACCCCAAGACAAATTCCTTGTGTGTCCAATCACACTTGGCCAATATTCTACTCTACTCTACTTCTACTCCTACCTCTACTCTACTCTACCTCTACTCTACCTCCACTCCTACCTCTACCTCTACCCCTACTCTACTCTACCTCTACTCTACCTCTACTCTACCTCTACTCCTACCTCTACCCTTACTCTACTCTACCTCTACTCTACTCTACCCTAGCTTAGCATGAGGAGATCACAGGATCTCCTAACTTCTCCTGCCAAGTTATGGGATGCCCGACTCTTTAACTCCCACGACTCCGAGGTCTCAGCAGAAGGGTCCTTGTAGTAGTTCAACAAAAAACCTCTGAAGATCCTGGTTGGGGAAAATGGAAGGACACCCACCCACCCCTTTCAGAGAGAGGGAGACTAACGGTGTGAATGAAATGACCACAAAGGGAGGCGCCCCTTTCCCGAAGCCTCACCCTGGTGGTCGAAATCCTGCAGAAAGAGACTGATCCGCTGGTGCCTCTGCTCTTTGCTCAAGACGCTCCGATCCGGTTCGACTCCGGAGTCGGCGCTGCGCTTCTTGGAGGCTTCCAGCTGCTTCCTGAACGCCATGGAGAAGGAACTGATGCCTCCCCAAAAAGAAACGCAGAGGGACCGGCTAAACTGGGGGGTGGGATATTTATAGAGTCCCAGCCCCCGCCTCGTGGACACGCCCCCAAGAGTGGGTTGATGGGGGGCGGGGTAGTAGGCGCGATTCCCAACTGAGCTTGTTTTGGGGCTGTAGAAGCAACGCAAAGAGATTCAGGTGGGCTAGATTTTTTTTTTAAACACCCCCCCCTCCCAAAAGCTGGGGTGGGGGCAGTTCTGCCCCTGCTAATTCAGATTGCCCGGCCAACATCCAAAGGAAGGGGGGGGGAGAATGGCAGCTACATTACTCCCTCCTCACAATCCGACCCCTAAACCCGAAAGTCCTAACTGGAGTCAGACTGGGGTTCCTATTATCTGCGTGCAATGCTTTAAACCTGGTTACTGTGTTCTGTCTGGGTTTTGCAGCCCGTAGGATCAGAAGCTGATGCAAACTGGCTGGCTTTGCAAACGACCCAAACCTAACTTGGAAGGAACCAAAGTTAAAAGTAACCGAGGTTAACGCATATAGCGATTCGTGTAGCTTTTGCACCTAAGCTGGAGTTGCAAACAGCCAGTTGACTATGGTTTCCTGAATTCAGTTCTTAGTTCATATAATGCACCTGATTGATAAAAACTGTTGGTTGGATTTGATCAGCAATCTGGGATCCCAACTTATGTTAGGGGGTTTAAGGACCTGACATTTAATGAGGTTCCCTTATTTTTGCCATGACTTGGAAAATGGATCAATATGAGCCCAACCATGGTTAAGCATTGCCCTGGCTAATGATGTGTGAACCAGGGTTATCCGACATCATGCAAATTAGTAAATGACTTCCACAGTTCATAATAGCTCTTTTATTTGTAAAGATCTTTAAAAAGTCACCCCAGAACAGGATGAAAAACATCAGAAGGCAGGAAAAACAAACATAGACCATCACAATGTTAGCTTGCCTTGGTAATGGTTCTTGGCATAAAAAAAAAACGAAACAACTCCCATAGTTTAATTATTTTGGATCTATTTGAGGATCGTATCCATCAAAGCTTGGAAGCAGATCTAAGAAAATGGCCATCACTAGCCAAAGTCAATTAAGTGGACTGTTAATTTCCTTGCAGTAATGACAAATGTGATAAATCAGCCCTAACAATGCTTATATTATGCACCATATTCAGTGATGTAATAAACCCAAAAATATCAGAAATCAAGAGGCACCATAAAATATAGCTCCCAACACAAGGAAAACTAGAAGTTGATGTCTTACAGTTAGAAGTAAATGAAAAGTATCACTACTTCCCATTTTTAAAAAGTACAAAGAAAAGAAATATCTCTGTAAAAACATTACTTAGAAACATGTAAAGTTGACATAATTTTCAGTAGCATTAAAAAGTTAACATGAGAATAAAAAAACGAAAGACTACAAATGCTTATTTCCCGTCCGTACCATATGAAAATGTTTACTTACTTAAAAAAATATATATTTTAATTGCAACTGCTCAAGATGAAGCTTAACATTCTCTTGAACTGAGCGACTACATACATGTCATGTAGTGTATGGCAACGATGGGGGGGAATTGCCACTGCTTTGAGAACTGGTATCCTCTTACAAATGGATGCCATCAATAAAATATAAAATATGATTTAAGAGCCAGCCAATTGTAATTTTTAGTATAATCTAAGGTTAGTTCAGAATTCAACAGAACTTACACGCAACCAAACATAATAATTATTAAGAAAATAGCGTAGCTAGCAATTTCCAATGGAAAAGATGTTTGATATGAAGATTTTGGAAAATGGCTCAGCTACTCAAAATAACATATAGTCTTAGTAGTTAAGACTGAAACTTTCTGAGTACTGATGGTACATTTATGATATCATTTGTAACAACTCAACTAACATGGCAAACTTCAATATGAGAAACCTTCAGATCGTTAAATCTGTAACTCTCATCATATCTGAAGATCATTAGGTAGGAAGCCATTCTAAAGTGTAAGAGAAGTCTTAGAGGTTGCGAAGAGGTATTTAAAAACCACACCTAATAGCTATTTCAGTCTTATCTGGCAAAGAACCAGAGGTGATATTCAGCAAGTTCTGACCAGTTCTGGAGAACCAATAGCGGACATTTTGAGTAGTTCGGAGAACTAGCAAATACCACCTCTGACTGGCTCCGCTCCCATCTATTCTCTGCCTCTGGAGTCCCAGCTGATTGGCTGGGTCTTTTTTGGTTGCACTGCACAGGAGAACGGAGCTGGAAAGTAGGTTAGTGGGGTGGGGAGGGAATGGTATTTTTGCAGTATATCCTTCCCCTGCCACCCCCACCAAGCCACCCCCACCACTAGTACAAAAATTTGAATCCCACCACTGCAAAGAGCCCTTCAGTGAAGCAATCTGGGAAAAAGAAGCTCAAACTATCCTCGGAGATTGCCACCTTAATGAATTCACCAAGGTGAGGACATTCAATTTTTTCTTCTTCTGGAATTCAACTGATTAATGACACGCCATGTGATTTTTTTCCCTTCTACTGTAGGGTCGAATCCCATTAAGATGAAACAAGGATCAAAGTAGCACACAAGATCCCATTTTGTCTCGTGAAAAGCACTCCGTTTCTTATCCTATCCCATTATTTGTGTTTTTATGTACTGCTACAAAGAACTGGTTATCCACAGATCGGCCTTTTAGTATATCAAACATTTACCCAATTATGTGTCTTGAATGAACGGCTTTGATCAGTTGAAATTCGACAACCAGGATCACCATTTGAAGCAGACGTTAAGTTTCCAAGTCAAGTCCCAGTCTAATATCTAATTTAAATTCAAGAGACGGATCTGAAGGCATCTGAATATTCATGGAGGCAATAGCAAATTGGACCCTTTCTTATTGCTCAATTTTGTCTACATTGGCCTCTTTACAATTATTCAAGAGCAATCAGAAACCTTTTCATAAACAACAGTGATCAAGAAAATCAACAAATGTGCAAATGTTCTTCTATTATCAACTTGTGTTTACCGTGCAAAGATATAATCCAATACCCCAACAGGGCCATCGTCTTCTTCTTTTGCTTCATTGCCTCCCAATTTCTTAAGACCTCACACTCATCATGGCCAAAGGAAGCTTAGACACACTAATTCTATCTTGGAAACAGCTGGCTAAAATTAGATAGGAATTTAAGTAGTATTATAGTCCCCTACATCTCTTTCCAGTTCCTTTCCTTCTATGCATTGCCCAGCCTTGGTTGAAAGCAGATAACATGAGCTTTCTTCTGATCAAAGAAGAGAAATGTTGTATTTTACACGTGGAGGCAATCTCGTCAGGAATTCAAAAGGCACTCAGTTCATTCTCTGATGGTCAGAACAAAATCTTGGGCCTCTTATTTCATCCCGAAAAAGGAGATTGCAATACTTCTATTTGCAAAAGGTTTCTGTCTAACTCCCATCAGACAGGCTTGACCAGAAGAGTGCAAAATCATCTCTGCCTTTAGTTTACTTGTACAACTCTAGTTTTCTGAGTTGGTTTGGTAGAAAGGGATAGTGTGGTATCTTCTATTTTGAAAGAAAAGCATAGAAGATTGTTTATCAACACCCGAACATCCAACCTAATCAAGTTTGGCTTTCATAACTGTGGGACAAAGGCAAATTTTGCAACATCCCACTTTGCAACCAATGACTGCATTAATCAATCTTTGAACGCATTTCCCGCATCTTAGTATTGTAAGTTTGTTCAAGTATTTTACTAGTCTTTTCTATCAAACTGAAGCTCCAGTAATTGTAATTCCACCATGAATTTGATTTTTTTAAAAAAGACAGCCCCCTCTAAAAAGCATATTTTTCTCTCTCACGGCTTGAATACACTTTCAAAAATACAGTCTAAAAAAAAAGAGTCTTTATTTTAAGAGTATTCCTCCAGAAAATTTATATGGAAATCTTTCACTTTCTTCAATAAGATCTTTAGTTTCTCGGCTTGTGGGAGAATCGTCATCCTAGAAGGAAAAGAAGAGGTACTTGAATAAATATTTTGTGGAAATTACAAGGGAAGAATCCCATAGTAACTTTGACAAGAGCACCTGTAAGGTCAAACCTACCTAAAGTGATACGTTCCTTTTCTTTGGCCAAACCCACTTCCGGGTACAACACAGATTCCAGTTTCTTCTAAAAGTTTCATACAGTAGAACATGTCAGGAGCCATTTGATGGGCCTGGAGAAATTTGAAGTGAAAGGAAGTTAATTGCTAATCACATAGTCCTTTTCAAATTGCTGTGCTTGCTTCTGAATGCCACACTATTCTGCAACACTTAAATCTGAATGTTCTCATGTTCAAATATAGAATGGAATGGAATAGGAATATAGAATAGAATAGGAAGAATAGAACAGAATAGAAAACAGAATAAAATAGAAAACAGAATAGAATAGAATAAAATAGAAAACAGAATAGGGTAGAATAGACAACAGAATAGAACAGAAAATAAGATAGAATAAAATAGAAAACAGAATAGAACAGAACAGAACAGAACAGATATATCCTATTGTTTAAAAGCATGTTCTCCAAGAAGCAAACATAACTACCTTTTACTGGAAGAGTAGAGCTATTTGGTAACACATAAGATATTCAGCTGATAAACCAGCTTTTCCAATACTAGGCTCACATTCTCATCATAGATAGTATCACCCCCATAATGCAGCTTAATAAGTGAAACAGGCAATAAAACACATAAAGTATATCTTAGGTGCAAACTCAGCCAACTTTTGGTTCCATTAAGGAGATGCAGCTAAACAATTGTGGCTTAGTGTAACGCACACATGTTTTACCTAAAGCAGGAGAACAGCTCCCGTTTCATTTCAGCTGCAGTAAACATTTCTTGCAGAGAGACAAGGCATTCTCACCTCCGCTATTTCAATGGCTTTGGCAGGGATAAAAATCCGTGGGAAGGCATACATGGCCCCTTGAAGTGGATTGCAGTGGAGCCCTGGCACTTGATTGAACAAATCTTCGGTGAGTTTGGCTTTCATCGCCAGGTTGTTCAAGACCGACTCCTTTTCCTGTGTTGTCAGGAGAAGTGAAAGAATGTCACACAGAGGGACACCTCAACTGGGCAGTTCAAACCAGCTGGCACTCTTCTACAGCCCTTCCTTTATTTCTTAGAGAGCATCAGCTCTTCAGGTTTTCAGCACCATCTAAATTTCCCTCCATCTAAATTTTTGGTATATAAAATGAGAGCAGACGCCACTGTCTACTAGCACTGATGATGTTACCTAGTTTGGCAATGAAACCAGAGGTGGTATTCAGCCGGTTCTGACCAGTTCCGGAGAACCGGTAGTGGAAATTTTGAGTAGTTCTGGAGAACCGGCAAATCCCGCCTCTGACTGGCCCCGCCAACCCCATCTCTCCTCTGCCTCCCATTGAGTCCCAGCTGATTGGCTGGGTCTTCTTTGGTTGCCCTGCACAGGAGAACGGAGCTGGAAAGCAGGTTCGTTGGGTGGGGAAGGAAGGGGGATTTTGCAGGATTCTTCCCCTGCTGCACCCACCAAGCCACACCCACCAAGCCAAGCCACGTCCACAGAACCGGTAGTAGAAAACTTTGAATCCTACCACTGAATGAAATGTCTGCAAAAAAAAATCCCCACCAGGCTTAGAGAACACCAAACACCCTACATCTAAACTTTCATCATCCCATAATCTGCATTTGCTTGGCTGGAAAAGAGAAAAAGCTTCTTGGATTCAGTACCTTATATCTTCACTAGCTAAAGAAATCATGGGTAGGATAAATGAGTGAGTAAGCAAAAAAATATTCCTGCAAGGAGGACATAAATCAACGGTGATAGTTTATTGTAACTTAAAATTGCCCAGAATACACTTGACTTGATTCTGCAGTTACCTTCAGTTCTTAAGTTTTGTTAGGCACTGTTTCTGTCAAATATTATCTGGGTTCCTGTGTGAAACCAGCCAGGGGTGTAAATTATTTACAGTCCAGTCTAATCATATACGATTCAAGTGTGAATCCAGAAACTACCACTGAAAACATTGTTATCGGTGTATTTAAACCCTACCTGCCCCCTTCAGACAATTGCACATGTTCTTGGTCTGGCATCCTCACGTGCTGGTTGGAAATGATTAAAGTTAAATTCAAAGGCAAATTCGAAAAGGCACCAGATGGAGGAAGTTTGGATGAATGGAAGATTAGCTACTTTGTTTTTAAATAGAAACTATGCCTTAAGAAAGTTCAAAACATTATCAAAGATCCATCTCATCCTGGCACCACCATCCTCTTTTTTTTTTTTGAACTATGACCATCTGGCAGACGGTACAGGATAATAATAAAAACAAGGACAAATAGACTGAAAAACAGCTTCTATCCCAGGACAGTAATTCTTCTGAATTCTACTGTATAGTGCTATATTAATGCAATATCGGGTTTTCAATTCAACGTGTAGAATGTGAAGGAGGTGAGTTTGTGTTTATTTTCATAGTCACAATGTACACTGAAGATGGTATTTAATTTCATTGTACGAGGTGCAATGATAATAAAGTAAACTAAAACTAAACTAAATAGATGTTTGAAAATGGAAAGGAAATTCAGTTTTGGAAAATGGATCAGAGACGAATCCTTAAATTGGATAAATCAAAAAGGTGATTTTTGTCTTGGTGTTTCTTGGTGAACACCTATTTTTAATTTCCACCTATCTCTTCTGGCTGACAGAGGTTCAAGAGCTTCTGGTGGCTTTAAGAAGGGTAGTAAAATGAAAACATTTTAAATATATGAACAAACCTTAATGAACTGGGCATAGGATTCTTCTCCAGGGACAGGAGGGTTCACGACAACATCCATAGCAGCTTGACCTGAGACGGGTGGGCACAGACGGACAGAGAGGAGCTTAAGTAGCTGCCCTTTAATTTCTGGGTGCAGGTTTATCACCTCCATATAGCCTCCTCGGTAGCCACACCTGAAAACCAGGCAGAAGCCACAGGAACAGAAAAGAGAAGGAAAGGAGAGAGGGGGAGAAAACGTGAGGGTGGGAAAAACTAGCATGAAATTCTCGCAGTGGCAGAAATGCAACCTATAAAGTCTACAGCTAATGCAGGATCCGATTTTAATCTTCTTCTGAGAAAGGAATGGCAGCTGCTTGGTGGATTAGGCTGGCATATAAGCCAGGGTTATGCATTGTGGCAGAGAATTTTAAAAAAATTCAGAGTTCATATGGACATAAACATTCTTTTTTTCCCCTTTATCATTAAGGTTTAAGTTATCTGAATCATCAGAGCATTAATAATCTCCAATCAACTCCCTATAAATACTACTGTATCCAAATAATATAAGGTACTGCTTGTTTTGGTAATCGTAACTTTTTTTTAAACAAAAATCGACATGCCACACCTGTGCAATTCAAGCCACACCCCCTTTTATGCAAAAGAAGGATTGACCTTTTCTGACCATGCCAGAGAAGCCACGGCAAGTGATTCAGTAAATGGATTAAATTTATATTTACTGACAAAGAAACAAATATAAATTTAACATAAAATAGGTTGTGGCGAAAGCCACTGGCCTGCGAAAGCTCCTGGATTGGGGCTGAGAGATGAAAGCGGAAGCAGTATGCTCTGTCCCATAATTGGGTAGACCAGGTTGCCCTGATAGAAAAAAAAACCCATTTAAATAAATGGATATTGCGCAGCTACAATTCAGAGGTGGTCTTCAGCGGGTTCTGACCAGTTCTGGAGAACCGGGAGCGGAAATTTTGAATAGTTTGGAGAACCGGCAAATCCCACCTCTGACTGGAAATTTTACAGTATCCTTCCCCTGCCATGCCCACCAAGCCATGCACCCACAGAACCAGTAGTAAAAGAATTTGAATCCCACCACTGCTACAATTCCATCCTCGACCGTTGAAACTTACTCGCCCATGTAGCCCTTGGAAGTGGAATGAAAAGAAGCGAGTTCAACATTATTCCAGTAATCGGGTCCCATCTCGTAAAGGATTTTTTTGAAGGAGTAGAACTGGCAGTTCTCCGAGTAAACGTTGTCTTGATACACCTGCGCCCCAGAAAAGACAGGATTTCAGGGGGTTCTCGACTTATGACCATAAGGGAACCTATCCAAAGCTGATCAACATAAAACTCATGCAATTTTATGACCTTGCTTTGCAGCGGGCGGTAAGCGAATCACCATGGCTATTACCTAAACCTGTTGTTTGCTATGGGGCAACTAAATGCTGAGTTTCAGCAAAAGCTGTAAATTACGGTCACATGACTGTGGGATATGTCTACTCTAAAGCCATAAATGTGGGTCAATTACTCAGCGTCCCAATGTGGATGTCAACTCATAAAACATTTCTATGGCTGTTTTATAGTTGCCAACAGAAAGAGCAGTGCAGCAGCTTGGAATCAAAAGTGCATTCCATTCATAGTTTTTCAGAGATTGTAACCAGGTGACTGAAGTTTCTGCTGTGCAAAACTCTAATTGGAGAACATGATTGATGACTCTTGGCTATGGATGTGTTTTGTTGGAGAATATGAATTAAGATACACCCAGAGGGGTGGGGGAAAACCAGGGTCAGGGGTGACAGTGAATTACGTGTCTCTGAGTCGGCTACACCTAGGTCATGCTGACATGTTAACTCCCAATAAATCCTGTGTAGTTTTGGAAGTTTAGCTTGAGACTCATGATTTAATTGGGGTAACTGCCAGAATCCTGACAGTGGATAAATGACCACGGGGAGGCCTCGTCCTTAGGAACCAGGTTATAAATATCTTTCAGAAGGACTGTAATAACTTCGAACGGTCACTAAGTGAGCATTCATAGGTTGAGAACTACCTGTAGGTTCCTACATTATAACATCATTTTTTTTAATACTTGGCAGGGAATAATCTAGAGCTTTTGATGCTCTTTATGTCATGGAATCCTCTCGTTATACCCAGCAGAGTTGTTTTCTTATTTTTTAAAAAAGTTCTTTGAATGTAAATACAAACATTACTGTGCTCCAAAGAAAATCCCAGACTCTAATATTCTGAGTTTCATGAGAGTCTTATCAGCAAGTAAATATGCACTAAACCACACAATTTTCATTTTCTAAGAATAGAAATAGCAATTAGACTTATATACCTCTTCACAGTGCTTTGCAGCCCCCTCTAAGTGGTACAGAGTCAGTCTATTGCCCTCAACAATCTGGGTCCTCATTTTATCAATCTCAGAAGGATGGAAGGCTGAGTCAACCTCAAGCCAGTCAGGATCGAACTCCAGACCTTGGCAGAGTAAGCCTGCAGTACTGCATTCTAACCACTGCACCACCATGGCTCTTCAAGAATGGTCATGAAACATATGGAAGGCCCAGGAATAGGCCCTCCGCAGGTTTCATGGATTGGATGAGTCATTTCTCTAGGACAAATAATGTATCGAGCTTGTCCTTTAGTATCTGACAGTTTTGTGATCGGCCCCACTGATCCCGACGGCCATTTTGTGAGAACATCACAGCACTAGGTGCTCTCCAATTTCCAAATACGTTGCTGTCTCCAAAGCTAAATATTTTCATTACCTCATCAGCCAGAAGAAACAGTTTCTCTTCCCAGGCAAAGTGTATCACCTCTTCAATACATTTTCTATTTTGAACTTGACCTAAAATTCAGGAAGAAATATGGGAAAAAAATTTTCAAAGCACTCCTCTTTTCCAATGAAACAGAGGTTACGTCAATCATTTCTTCATTCCAGAACAAAAGAGCATCTGTCTTCGCTTTTGATGTGAGGGTCAGGGAGGGGGTACAAGGCTGTGAAGGATGCACAACAAGAGGGGCAGGGGGACAGCGTGAGGGGATGCACAAGGGCAGTGTGGCGAGGGTTGGGACAGATGCACAGGAGATGTGGCGAGGCTCTGAGAGGGTTTGAGGAGTGTGTGCAAATGGCTAGCACAAGTGCAGAATGGTTGGGAAAAGTTGCGTAGGTGAGGGAGACCTATCTTACGGACTTTGTGACCTTTCCTGCCGGCTTCCCCAATGACTTTCTGGGGAAGCCAGCAGGCAAAGTTGCAAATGTTGTAAGTGTGAGCCAGTTGCACACAATCACATGACCGCAGAGATGCTGGGGTGACTAGAACTCTGAAGACCAGTCATCACCACCATGTTTAAGCGCTGTTGAACGTTGGCTGAACAATGGTCGTGACTCAAGGACCGCCTGTACACAGACATCATTATTTACTACAACCAGGCCATAGAGAAATGACACAGAAAAAGTGTGAAGAGCAGACCCATAGAAGTTTTGCACACCTGTGGGGTTTCCAGGATTAATGATGCAAAGGACCTTGGGATTACAATACGCTTTGGCTTCATATAAGGAGCGGCGTAATTCGTTCACATCTAGGGCCCAGCAGTTCTCTTCGTCCAGGTAATAGTTTACCTGGATGGCATCCAATTCGGAAATAGCAGCAGAATATAAAGGATACTGAGGAATTGGGATCATCACTCCGGTCCGAGTTCTTCCTCCCCCAGAGACGAGGATCTTGAGAATGGTCTGGAAGATGGAGGAAAGGTAAGTTGGATTAGAATTTCCTTTGTTCCTCAAACTGCATCGAATACACAAGAATATATTTCGGGGTTAGAAAAAAAAAATCAACCAGAAAAGAACTTTAAGAAGATCTTGAAAAGGCTGGATCAGTAGAATTGCTGATCCAGAAATACTGAACAGGTAAGTCCTCAAGTTATAACCACAATGGAGCCCAAAATTTTTTTGTGGCTAAGTGAAACATTTGTTAAGCGAGTTTCACGACTTTTCTTGCCAGAGTTGTTAAGCGAATCATTGCATGTCAACTCAAAAATCATTTTGTATACACGTTTTGTAGTTGACAACAGAAAGAAAGGGGGACGTTTCAAAGAGCAGGCGGCAGTGTGGAATCGAAAGTACATTCCATTCATATTTTCTTCAAACACTGATTAGATGACTGAAGCTTCGGCTGTGCAAAAAATCTAATTGGAGAGCATGACTGATGACTCTTAGCTATGGATGTTTTTCGTTGGATGATAGACCCAGAGAGTGAGGGGGAAAGCAGGATCGAGGATGACAGTGAATTACGTGTCTCAGAGTTGGCTACACCTAGGTAAATGCTGGATGTAGAATGTTACCTTCAAATAAATCCCCTTTAGTTTTGGGAGTGTGGCTCAGGGCTCATGATTTAATTGGAGTAACTGCCGGAATCCTGACAGATACCCAACTCTGAGATACGTAATTCACTGTCACCCTTGATCCTGCTTTTCCCCCCACTCCTCTGGGTGTATCAGCCATCAAAAACAGTTAGTGACACGGTTGTTAAGTAAATCTGGATTCCCGATTGATCTTGCTTGTCAGAAGGTCACAAAAAGTGATTGCAAGAACCAGGGATACTGTAACCGTCATCAATAGCAGTCAATAACCAAGCATCTGAATTTTGATCATGGAGATGCTGCTACGGTTGCAAGGGTGAAAAACGGTCGATCCTAAGTCACTTTTTTCAGTGCTGTTGTAACTTTGAACGGTCACTAAAGGAACTGTGGTAAGTCAAGGACTACCTGCAATACCAAACTGGGCCAGAGGGTGGCATTTTAATCATGCCATTTGTTTTGTTTAAGGTAGCAAAAACAGCCAGATGCAGGAAGGGAACTGTTTGAGAATTACCGGTACTTGTATGTTAACATAACTTCAAGCTGTTAAGTGACCGATTACAAGTTGAAGGTTACCTCTAACCCAACCATGGGGGGAAAAATTGGGTTTTCTCCTGGCAGTCATCCAGAACTGCAGTCTGGATGATCTTTACAGCCAGAATTTTACAGCCAAAACAAAGAGAAGGAAATGTTGACACCAGACGAGAAAGAGATTTCTACCTTTAGCAAACTAAACTGAGCATTTCTTTCCAGGTTCTTTCATTCAGTCTGAATAAACCTGGGTCCTTGGTCCCAAACATCAGAAGATGCTCCCAATGCCACTTACAGCAATGCCGTCACTTGCACCTGTGGTCAAGTAGATGTTCTCTGGATCCGCAGGGACGCCGCCATCTCGCCGCTCAATGTACGCCGCTACGTCTTCACGGATGCAATTGACTCCTTGGCTGGCGCTGTACGAACCTGTGAAAGGAAGGAAAATGTCAGCTTTCAAAAACCCCGAAAGATGTGTGGAAATTCTTCTAAGAAGTTTCCTAACCATCTATCTGTAATCTCTGCCCATCAAATAAACTCTTTCATCAATTAACATATTGAGAAAGAATAAAGATTAAATCTGAGTCAGATTTCTTCCATCCTTCTGTCTCTGCCTTGAAACCAAAACAGATCAAACGGTAACGTTTGTCACTTCAAGCTGAGGTCAAACATTGCTCATTATGAGCACTGTTGATGTTACCTAGTTTGGTAATGAAACGTCTGCAAGAAACCCCTGAATTCAGAGAGCACTAAGAACCCTCACAGTCACAGTTCTTCCACACTCCTCTTAGTGAGAGAACAAAAGTCGGTCCTTTACAACAAACAGAATAAAAATATACCCCGGACACACAGGGACCCGGAGAGCTTTGAGTAATAATTTGGAAAAAGCTGATGTTCTGTTTTATGGTTCAATTATATCTTGTAAGGTGCTTTTTTAAAAAAAAATCAGAGCCCCCAAGATATTTCTTTTTTGAGTGTTTCAACTTTTCTGTGCACTCTATGATGCTGTCTGGATCTCGGAATTTTGGAATATATTTGGAACTATTTTACTGCAGGAAAGATTTACCAAACATGGCCCTGCCATAATGACAAGGAGCAATGACATCCTTTTCTCATATCAAAATAGTACATGGGGTTTTTTGTGTGTTTTGATATCAGAGTGATCAATGACAAGATGCATTGATCAAAGCATCTCCAATAATCCCAGGAGGCTCAACCTTGCATGCAAAGAATGAAAACAGGACTTGTTTCTCAGACATGAAGACACCACATACCTCAGCATATACATATTGTGTCAGGGTTGTCCAATTATACTTCCTTATATATCAAGTTGAACTAGTTTTAGAGTTTTAAATGTTATTAAGGAAACTTAGAAAAATATGTGTGAACCTAAGGATCTGGGTGAACGACTAGAAGGAAAAAGAGACTCAGACTGGCCCTGTTGCTACTCTTTCATTTCAGTTAGCATCTGGTCTTCCAATTTGAGATGGGAGAGGTGTGTTTCATTTGTGTAGAATGTTAAGTTGTGAGACACTTCTCCTGGAAAATTTCTAAATATTTCTGACAGTGAATTATTCCAGCTTAACTCTTTCCTAGGCACAGTGGGCTGGAAACATCTTGAACCGATGTTGTCAACAATGAGCATAACACATCACGCTATAGCTGTATTTCTCAACCTTGCGACACAATAAACCAATTTGCATGCGATCCCTTAGCTTGGCCAATTTGAGATGTGAGGACTTCACCTCACAGAATTCCCCAGCCGCCATACAAATATGTTTAGCTACGGGATCATATCCAAATTGATTCATTAAGTCGCAAGCAATAAGAAATGACATAACTTCAGGGTGAAAAGAAATGGGTGGTGGAAGGTAAAATAGGTAGGAAAATGGAAGAAAATAAAATAGCATTACTGTACTGGGAATTTATCAATTAAACATCTGGTTATTTTCAAACTGCATCTAGGTTTATATCTAAAACTGCTCTATACATAAATATACGTGGTAGACAAATACCTGGCAAGCAAGCAATCTTCTTTACTCTGCACGGAGAACCAGAATGGAGACAGAACACAAAGAAAGAGAGATACTTGGCCTTACATGGCTTTACATATATAGACAACTTCTTAAAGTGGTAAAACCCTGTGGGACCCATCTTCAGTCTTAAAGCGGCAATACCCATGCTGATTCATCCTTATTGCATCAGCTTTTACAGCAGCCTTACCCCGGCTGGTCAGCTATTAATAAAAAGTCAGATCTTCTGTTCTTCTACCTTCAGAGTCCAGAATGACTGCCAACAGAGACGGCGAGGATCTAATGTGAAAAAGTGATCAACGTACCTAAGCTGTTGCCTCCACAGCCTTGCAAGATCCGTCTTGCCTTCTTCTTGGAGTCTTCTGGGAAACTGGGGCTGTCCAGCAGGTTGGGGTACGTGCAAAGGGCCACCACCTACATCGCCCAGAAAACACATGGAAAGAGATGAATTCCTCGGGACACAGATTTATACCCAACTTATTAGTGCAATCTATCAAATGATTCTAATCTCGCTCTACAGGAAGTCCTTGACTTACAACTCTTCGTTGTAAACTCTTCGACCATTTGAAGCTACAAGGGCCCTGAAAAAACTGGACTTAAGAAAATGGTTTTGGCGCTTAGGACTGTTGTAGCATCTGCATTGGTCACATGGTCAAAATTTAGGGGCTTGGCAACTGGCATGTATTTATGATGGTTGAACTGTTCTGGGGTCAGGAAATCGCTACTTATAACTCTCCCATCTGGTTTCAGGCGAGCAAAGTCAATGGGGGACACCCAATTCATTTAACGACCGCATGATTCGGTTAACAAGTGCAGTGATTCGCTTAAGAATCATGGCAAAAAGGTTGCAAAACTCGCTTCCTCCTGCCTCGCTTAGCGAGGGATATTTTAGGCTCTCTTGTGGCCGCAAGTTGAGAACTCTCTGAAGCCTGCGAGAGGAAGCAGTAAGACAGCGAGGAGGATCCCAGCACAGCTGATCGTCGGAACAGCTGATCGTTGGGAGGGGAGAAAAAAGAAATACCTTAAGGAGTGACCGGGTAGGGGAGAACGCAGTCAGCAATGTCAGGCATGTGCAATAAGGACTGAGTGGGGGGAGGGCGGAGAAGGGCAGGGCCAGCCAGGGGCACAATTTGCCAGTTCTCCAAACTGCGCAGAATCATAACAACCAGTTCTATAGAACCGATCTGAACCGGTAGAATCCTACCCCTGCACGTAGGGACTCCTGGGAGGAGATGGGTGGGGTGGGTGAAGCCAGACAGGAGTGGGATTTGGAGGTCCTCCTAACTGCACAGAATCTTAGCTAGGGGCTTTCCCGAACCCTCCCGAACCCTCAGCAGCCTTTCCCTGGGATGGTATCCCACCTAGTCTCTTAAAAAAAAAAAAACCCAATCCAGGTGAGCAGCTTTGATATTTTTTTCCCCTTCCTCGCTTTAATTTCCAGTTTGGAGAAACCAGACGCAGCTGTCCACTTCGGGATAACCTTATGACTTCAGTTGCCTTTCTTCAAGTCTACTCTTCCTCCAGCAGGGTAACACCTACCTGTCGAAGGAAGGTGATGGGCTGCTGTCCCATGGCGTGAGCATCACCAATGTTGGCCTTGATGACTTCTGTGAAAGGCTTTTTGATACCCTGAAGGGAGAAAAAGCAACGCTTGTGATGCAGTGAATCCAAGCTTGGTGGAACACAACGCAACCAGGACACAAAACCCATCAGCCGTTCCAATCTTCTCTTGTATGCAAATCACTTAAAAGGTTTGAGGATCGGTCCTTAAAACAGGCGTTAGTAACATGGTACTCTCACATCATTATTCCCCTCCTTTCCAAAAGCTATTTTCAATATCCCTGAACGATTATGACTTTATGAAAAAGTCACAACAGCTGAAACGGTTACATCAGGGCATTGTTTATGAAGGACAAAAGCCGCCACGCATAAATACTAGGAATGTAGCAAATCACAGAAAAAGTGGGCAGGATTCCTGGTTCTGCATGAAACAGCCTTTGTGTACAGACCGCCCCACAGCAGTACCGCTTTAGAAAACCTTAGGAAAACCAAGACCTAGAATACGGCATCCAGTTTTGGTCACCATGTCACCAAAAAGATGTTGTGGCTTTGGAAAAAGTGCAGAGAACAGCAAGTAAGATGATTAAAGGCCCGGAGACTAAAACATATGAAGAACGGTGGCAGGATGTGGGTTTGGCTAGTCTAGAGAAAAGAAGGACTCAGGGTGACATGATAGCAGCGTTCCAGGATTTGAGGGGCTGCCACAAAGAAGAGGGGGGTCGAATTATTCTCCAAAGCACCAGAAGGCAAGACAAGAAACAACAGATGGAAACTAATCAAGGAGAGAAGCAACCTGGAATTAAGGAGAGGCTTCCTAAAAGTGAGAACAATTAACCCAGTGGAACAGTTTGCCTTCAGATGTTGTGGTTGCTTCATCACTGGAGGTTTTTAAGAAGAGACTGGACAGCCACTTGCCTGAGAAAATATAGGGTCTCCTGCTTGAGCAGGGGGTTAGACTAGAAGACCTCCAAAGGTCCCTTCCAGCTCTATTCTGACTTGAATCAACACTGGTGGCCTTAAAAGCAAATAATGTGAAGCAGCTCTTTAAAATAAAGGTATTGTTATTTTTCCTTAATAGCACTTAGACTTATATACCACTTCATAATGCTTTACAGCCCTCTCTAAATGGTTTACACCAGGGGTCTCCAACCTTGGCAAAGCTGGCTGGGGAATTCTGGGAACTGAAGTCCACCTGGCTTAAAGTTGCCAAGGTTGGAGACCCCTGGTTTACACAGTCAATGTAGGACATATAGAGTTCTTTGTTCATGCTTTGTCACTTTAGGAAATGCATTGAAATGGACCATAGTGGCCACAGGGAAGTCCTGGGTATGAAGTCCTGGGACATCAAGTTTATGAACCTTGTACATCCTTTTTCCTTTCCATGCTTGGTTTAATAACATCCTGGTTTGATAAACCAGATGTCTTGTTGGTCTTAAGTCCAGAAGTCCATTTAACTTCGGACAGCAGTCAATCAACTGAGGTTCAGTAGACTAGAACAGGTTATGATGGTGCTGTTATTTTCCCTACTGCTGCAGGACGAGAATATTCAAAATTATATAGGTGATAAAATCAGGACTGTCCATGCAATTGATTGGTTAGGTGTTATGCAACATGGCGGAACCGGATTTCCATGCTAAGGAATAGCAAAACATCTACGTTTACTTGGAGCATAAATGTACTTTAAAATCTCACTGATGCCACCCCAAAATTATAAAGGTGCAGAATACCACCTCTGATATCACTCTAAACTTATTCTCTTTTACGGTGAGAATAAGTTCACTGCAGTAACAACTTCAGATCTGAATGGTTATTGCAGGATGTAAATAATTTCTGTCTACATCCATAAAACAAAATTTATTTACAGAAGGAGAATGAACTCTTTACAAGGACCACAAATTTATTTATTGCCTATTTACATTCCATTTCCTCTTCTGCCTTTGCTCGTTTCTCTCTCTTCTAGGTTTTAGCTTTCTACCTTCTCCTTATAATAAGGGCCCAATTAATTCTTTATTTGCAGCAATCTATAGTTTCATCACACACAGCAAATGATCATTTGAGGAAATCCTCCAAAACAAGACAATGCAAATTCTAACCCACATTCCTGAACTTGTAGGCTTAACTCAAACAAACTAAACAAACCTGTTTAAACACAACATGATATTTCAACCAACCCATGAGGGTGGCAATCTTAGAAACCGAAGAATGAACATGCATAAATACCAGATGGTGTAAGAATAACCTGAATAACGTAACTGATACTATCACAAGTAATCAAGAGCAGGAAAAGAGAGAAGTACATCTTACTTTCAGTCTCCAAGCTTTATTTTTAACTTCGATACTATTGTTTGTTCTCTAACAAGTCAGAATTGTGAACCAAAACCTCGGCTCCAATTCTGCTTCAGAGGATAAATAAAGAACTTTGGTTTGGATATAACACTAAGCAAAAATCACAGTGGTGTTTTCCCTGATGGGTTTAGCCAAACATGAAGCTATCCTACAAATGAAGTCAACAAAGGACAGACACTGGGATGCTAATTTAAACTCTATCAAACTCTATCATTCTCAATAATGCTCGAGGAAGTCAAAACTTTGCTATCAAAGGATACCTTTCCTTCCAGGCTAAACCTGAAAGATGCTTCTTTCTTGAACAAATACAAATATATATTGCAGACATAATTGGGGCCAATCAAAATAGACATTTTTTTAGTAAAGTTTTATTGAGTTTTAACAAAACAAATAAAACATCTTATTTGAGTACAGCATGGTTCCGGGTTATCACATTTCCATACAGACACAATTTCATATGCATATTCTTCTTATATATTCTACTTCATATCTTATTACTCTTTTTCCAATTTCTCACTATTTCTCCCTTTACTTCTCTTAGTTTTCTTTTATAGTTATCTCATTTTCTTCTTATTCGATTATATTTGTTTTGCCTAAATTTCTACATCTTTTTATTCATTATACTTATACTTTCGTCCGTCTTGTTTACAATTTCATATATTCTCTTCTAATATTCTTAAAAAGCAAAATTCCCCCTATGATTGTCAATCGGAGTACAGCACCTTTAAGTCTTATAGTTATTATCATGTTATTATCATGTTATTATCATGTGAAATCTCATTAAACATTAAATTTGTGCATTCTAAAATTATAACATACAAATTTCTAATATCTACTTTATATCATGTAAATCTCATCATGTTTTTGCTATTTTATTTTAGAATTTTTCTTTGTATATTTTCAAGGGGAAGTACCAAGCAGAGTCAAAACAGACATTTAATCTAGAAGATGAAACATGGAAGGGCCTGCATTTTTTAAATTTATAAAAGCAATAAAAGAAAACGCTTTCAAGGATAAATATCATGTTTTTATTCTAACATCACATTATACCCTGCTTGTTTCTGCCTTTATGGGATATAAAATACACACTGAAGTATGTGTACACTGATTACCCTACTGCACAAAATTGCGCCTACCAAAATCAAATAAGAGAACACCTGGCTGACAACAAACACTAGCAATCAAGCATTCCTTTGATGTTAGTACCTTAAAAAAAGATTTTGCAAAGCAGCAATATCTGAAAGAGAGTGGGAGATGTTCTTACAGTTATTCTATCAGGTTGTTGTTATGGTTTGCCAGCAGCAGGTGTGGACAGCTGAGGTCTCGGAGAGCGAGGACTCAGGTGAGGGGCCTGCGTGCGATGCAGGGATGGGGCTAGGACTATCAGGGAGTGGAATGCTGCCTTCAGAGATTGTGGAGGCTGGCAGCAGTGAGGAAGAAGTCCCCGAGGAGCCTGTGCCCAGTGCGCATGAGTACAGGACTGCTTGAAGGAAAGAGCAGCTGCAGCAGCACCGACGACTCGGGAGTAAGGCTGCAAGGTAATGGTCCCTCCCTCAAAATATAAAAGCCAGCTGAGAAACCAGAGTTCTTTGCAGGAAGCAAAGAAGTTTTTGCACTCAAGCCTTGTGGATGTTCGGACTCTCTTAGTTTGTGTTTGGAATATTGTGTCTGAAATATTTCTTGGCAACTTTATCTAGTGTTCTTGGCAGCCTCGCACAACCTTGGCAAGGCTCGTTCTTATCAGAGACAATTAGTTTGAAACAGCCTTTTAACCGTGAAGGAAGGGAATTCGTAAAGAATCATTAAAAGGTTTTGCTGTTACCTCCATTTCGTGTTGGTTTCCTTGGAACAAGGTTTGGGTCAGAACAGTTTTCAAAGCTATTCATGATCCAAAAAGCTGAGCTATTTATTTGGTCCCCCGTTACGAAGTACAAAGGCTGGAATCAAGAGAATGTTTTTTTTCTCCTCCAAAGGAAAACATCCAAGGGTGCATAGTTACAGTTTAAGAGGCAAGGGCTGCCACAAATGCAACACTGAAGATCCTAGGAATCTAAGCAAATTCTAGCAAAGAATTTCTCCAACAGCGTAAGAACAGCAGGACTGAGAATATAATGGCCATCCCTCCCCAAAAAGAATGTGAAGTTCAGCACAATTTGGAGAGCTAATTTCATTTATGAAGTCTCTCTCTCTCTCTCTCTCTCTCTCTCTCTCTCTCAAAGACCAACAAACTCTGTGCAGTACAGTTGCCAATTTTTCTCCTTGAGGGGCTCCTGGGTGAAAGGCAAGTGGAAAGTCCGCAGTTGAACATCTTCCCATCTCCAGCAGTGAAAGCCTAAACCACAAATTTATTTATTTTTTGCTTTTTCATTCCGGTATTTCCACTTAAGTGCCAGCTGCTAAAAAGCTACCATTTAAAAATGCATTGATTGATTAAACGTCTATGTTGTCCATCTTGCCAGAAAAAAAAAAATAGATAGATCTTGTACAGAGCACATTCAACATTTTACTTAAAATCCCAAAATATCGGTTGGGTTCGCAGAACATCCTAAGTCATGATATGCTTTAACTACTGTCCACAACAGTAGTTTATAAAGTAAATCAGGATTATGCAAAGTGTGGTTATGTCTTAAGAGCTGACTCACTTGAAAAGTCAATCATGTTAGGAGTGATCTGTGGAAAAAGGAGAAGGGGCCACCCTTGTAGCTGGAAAGGAAAAAAAAAAC